GCAGGGCAGGGCAAGGCCCCCTCGGGCAGCGGCCTGGGCAGACACCGCCTTACTGAGGAGCTCGGGGGCGCCCAGGGCTTCGCGTGCAGGGGACCCGCGGCCTCCGCGAGCTGCAGAGAACAGACACAGGGCGTCTGCAGAGATGACGGGAGACACCGCGCTGCTGGCTAACCCAGCTTTCTACGTGACGAAAGCGTTCGTAATCGGATGTTTTATTAAATGTGGATAGGCGGATTTATAGGTTAAAAACTTGATTCCGTGTCTATGAATATGAACTCTGAACTATTTTATCCACTGGAAGGCAAAGGAAAGGTCCTACGTGGTGGGAGGAAGGACTGACAAGCACTCTGCTCTCCCCGGGCGCACTGGGCGGTGGCGGCAGGCTCTGGGCGGGCGGCGAGGCCTCCAGAAGCTCCGGGCGAGCCCGGCGGCGGCGGGCATGGGAGCGGCGTGTGGCCGCGGAGGCGGGGTGAGCCCTTCCCCATGGCAGGCGGCGTCCCGGACGGGCCAGTCCTTCAAAGTGAGCAGTTCCCATTCAGTCTGTTTCTGAGGAGAAAACACAGGCCTGTCACCTCCTCAGCGGCCGCCACCTGGACCCCCCCACCTCCCGGCACCCGGGACAGGGGCCGCGCCCTCCCACCCGCCGCCGCCCGTCCCGCAGCGCCCCCCGCACCGACCAGCGCCCCCCAAGCCCAGGCCGCCACTGGGTGCTTGAGAGGCCCACGGTCTGGGACGCTCGCCGACATGGCCCATGCACAGAGGCTGGCGGTGGAGAAACCAAGCACAGACACACAGACACACAGACAAGCCCTTCCTGAAGCCAAGGGTTATGGGCTTCAGACAGAAGAGGAGGCGGCCACAGTGCCACACCTGCTCTGTCCCAACCGGGGACACCACACTTGGACTAGCGGTGGATTCAGGAGCGGGGTCGGGGGAGGGCAGTCCTTGTGACTCAAACCCACTCATCCCACCTCCTGGTTAGCTTTTCTTTCTAATTGTGATAAAACATACACGACATAAAAGCTACCATTTGAACCATTTTTGAATGTACGGTTAAATGGCTTTAGATACATTCACAAGGTTTGTAACCTCCACCCTATTTCCAGCTACCCCCAAAATATACTTCAGTGAAATTTTAATTTAAAGACTCTAGATTGTTCTAGTTGCCAGCAATCCTCAGGGGCACGCCCAGTGCTGGAGAAGGTGCCCCAGGCAACCAGCCCCATGAAGCCAGTCCTGTTTCCTGGAGCCCACCACCGCCTGTGAGGGCCTCACTGACTCATGGGGGCCTGAGGAAAACAAGGTCAAGTCTGGAAATACGGGACCCAGAACCAACTTCTAAAGGTCCCCAAATCGGAGAATCTGAGAATCCAGACACTTGCTCAGTTTCCACGGGCTGCTGGCCATCCTGTGATGAGGCTTCTACGGAGACAAACCCCCAACGATGGGGAGGGGAAGGGGAGGCTGGGACCTCGGGGGGCAGGACCTGATACTGCCAAAGTGACTTGTCTGGGGCTTTAAAACTATCTCTGGTAACTTATCTTCTAAAGTTTTCTTTCAAGCTAATACCGAGGATACGATCCAGAGAAACGGAGGAACAAAACTCAAGCTTTTGATTCCACAGATGTCTAAGGGGGAAGATGATTTCCCATTTCTCCAAATCAGAAAGAGCAACAAATGCAAATTACAGGGCTTTCACCATTTACATGAAAGCACTTCCCACACCTAAGGGCAATCTGAGCCCCTTTCCTTCTGCTCGCCATCCTGAGTTGAATTTCCTCAATAGTCCTGTTGCTCTCTCCTTACACCCGGGGGCTGTGGATCCCTCTGACTCTGAGGGTGCTTTGACCTACTCTCCCACTGCTAGGAAATGTCTAGAAAAGCTTGCACACTTACAGGCCCCCTCTGTTCCTTCCCCTGACGACACAGGAAACACATCACACTGTAGGTCATATTCCATCGCGGTCTAATGGCTTCTGCTGCAGGCTGTCCCCGAAGCAGCCGGCCACTTGGTCCCACTGCCAGGGAGCTTAGGAACAGCAGCCACCCCCGTGGCCCGCCAGGGGCCCCGCCCTCCCCACAGCGGATGGCCCTGGACCCCGAGAGCTCCTTACCCAGCTGAAGTCCAGCCTGGGGACTCCGGGTATCAAAGGGCTCCGAGCTGGCCTCAGGGGCGCCGGGCTCCCACGACTCGCTGTTTTCCGACACCTCTGCACAGGCGTCCCCCGTCCCTTTGTGCACGGCTGCAGGCTCACGGGCGCCCTGGTCCTCGCCGCCCGTGTCCGCCACAGCCCGGGTGTCCTCGCCCATCTTCTCCGCAAACCACTGCTTGACCTGCTGCGAGCTCATCTGGGTCTGGTCGCAGAGGCTCTGCAGGTCCTCCTCCCGCAGCGTCTTGTGCGTCCCGTAGTAGTCCTGCAGCAGCTCCCGGTTGCCAGGGGCGATGACCAGCAGCCCCGGGGGGAAGTTGCCCCGCTTATAGTCTTCGTACCACTTGAGCTGGCCGTTCTTCAGGGCGTACCTGCTGTCCCCGAACCAGCGCACCACCTCGGGCCGCGGCAGGCCGGTCTGGGCCGTGATGGCGTCATAGTCCTGGGTGCTGGGCCACCGCGTCTGCACGAAGAGCCGGCGCAGCAGGTGCCGCTGCGGGGCCGTCTTCTTGCAGCTCGCCTTGCCGGGGGGCTGCTCGGCAGGCTTGCCGGGCCCCTCCTCTTCGGGCTCGCAGGCGCCCGGCCCCGGGAGCTCGCTCCTGCCGTTGGCCTCGGTGACCCGCAGGTTCTTGAGGTTGATTTTGATGGGGCTGACCTTGCGCTCCGCCAGGGCGTGGCTGCCGAGCCCTTCCAGGGAGCCGTCTTCGCCGGGGACCCTCAGGTCCCCCACCAGCTCCCCTTCTCCCGCCTCGTCCTCGGCAGCCGCCACAGCCTCCTCATCCGGGCCGGGGCCCTCGTCGGCCGTCCCGGGGTCCTCGGCGCTCACTCTCTTCCGCCTCTCCGAGAACCAGCTGTCGATCTCTCTCCGGGTCATCTTGGTTTCCGTCCTCAGGCGGTCCAGCTCCTCGTCGGGAGGGAGGGGGTTTTGTGCAAAACTGCTCTCCAGGGCTCTGAGCTGCTCTGGGGCTCGCTCCTTGTACTTGGTGGGGGTGAAATCCGGGGTCTGGTGCCAGGCCTGGCGTTTGGCGGAAGGGGGGGCCGCCAGGCTGGCGGCTGGCGGGATGCAGGGCACCTCGGGGGCCTTGGCCACCGCCGGAGAGAAGGGCGCCTCGGGCCCGGGGTCGACGACGACGGCGCCAGGGTCGCCGGGCAGCACGGCCCTGGAGCCCTTCAGGTTCCGGCAGTGGTACCTGCGGTCGCTGAACCACTTGCGCACCTCCCTGGTGCTGAGGCCGGTCACTTTGGTCAGGTGCTCCACCTCGCTCTGCCCTGGGAACTGGTTCCGACAGAAGCTTCCCTTCAGGGCAGACAGCTGCTCGTGAGACTTCTTGTTCTTGTAGATGCTGGCGTCCAGGAAGGCCTGCGAGGTGATGCTGGGGCACGCCGTGAGCAGCGACTGGGCCGCGTTGACCACCTTCACCGCCGACGCCGTGTTGGAGCACACCGTGTTAATGGGCGCCGCGGGGGGCTGCTTGGGCACCGACGTGACGGCGGGCGGCAGGGAAGAGCCGGGCGCCTGCAGCCCGTTGGCCATCAGCGGCTGCGTGACCAGCAAGCCGCCCGCCGCGCCCTCCGGCTGCCCCACCACGTGACCCGGGAGGGCGGCCTGGATGAGGTGCTGGACGCCGCCGGCATTGGCCACCAGGGGCGTGTTGAGGACGGTGATCGTGGGCTGGGGGACGGACTGAATGACCGTGTTGAACATCTTCTTCCGGGCATCCTCAATCTCCTCGGGGGACCAGCTGATGCCCTGCTTCAGCCTCTGGGCTGTGAACCAGATCTTGAGCTGCTCTTCCGGGTACTTGGTGACCACGGTCAGGTAGCAGAGCTCCGCTTTGGTCGGGTAGGGGAACTTATGGAACGAGTTCTTCAGAAAGCTGTTGGAGTCCATGGCCGCATTGTAGGTGGGGATGCTGCTCAGGGGGATCATCACCTTGGGGAGGGACTTGGACGTGGGCAGCGGCTGGTGCCCATGGTGCTGGGCGTGCACGGGGGGCGGCTGCTGCAGGGGGAGGAACTGCGCTATGCCGGCCGGCAGGACCGGCACCGCTCCCAGCAGGGGCCCGTTGGCTGCGTGTGGCCCTTTGGCCGAGCCGGCGGCCGGCTGACTGACCGGGACCGCGCCATTGACAAAGGGGTGGTCCCCCTCCTTCGCCTCGGCCTCCCCAGCTGGTGGGTTTGGTAAGGCCGTGTCACCCACAGGCTGACTGGGCATGTTCTCCTTGAGCGTATGAATTTTTTTGGCTTCAGCTTTGCCTTTCATTATCTTCATGATTGGAGTTTTGGTAATGATGATTTCGGCCTGTCCGTCAGTCCCTTCGGCGTTGGGCTCACTCGGTGTGTCGGGAGCACAGGTGCTCTCGGGGACGCTCTGCTCCACAACCACATGATTGTCTGGCTTGGCCACATTCCATACAAAGCTGGCTTCTCCCGAGTGACACTTGGCATTGTGCAGAGAAAGGCCCTCAGGAGTTTTTGCCAAAAAACTGCATTCAGTGCATACAAAAGTTGGATCCTTATTGAAGTCTGGGTGCTCTGAGTTCATATGTCCCACAAACTGAGTTATGTCCTGGGATCTGAAATCACAGTATTTGCAGGAATACGAATAGCCGTCCAACGTGCCCCGGTGCCCGTTGGCCAGGGCGGGGCCATCAGTACTGCTGGATGTCGGGGCAGCCTCGCTGCTGCTGGCAGGCGCTTCGGGGGGCAGCTCCTGCTGGGGTCCTTCTGGTAAAGCCTCGGCGGGCTGGGCCTCCGCGCTGGCGTCCTGTAGCACCACGGTCTTCACAGGGATCATGCACGGGGTGGTGGACTTCCTCTTGCTAGCCATGGCGACAATCACACTGGCCTGTCCCGTCAAGGGCCTCACAGTGTAAGTTCCAGCTGCTCCATGTGGACCAAAGAAACAGTTTCCAAGGGCAGTTTTCTCAGTTGTTTGCAGAAAGCAAGTTTTTCCTATTAAACCTAAGGAGGAAGAAAAAAACGCTCATGATCTCTTAGGCTCTGGCTGTGTACTTCCAGACACCCAGACGAACCCTGCAGCTTGCCTTGTATGACAGGGACCTTTTCTCGAGAAGTTCCCCAGCAGCCTGAATGTGGAGCCCCCACACACCAACAAAGTAGGGCCCTGAAGTATGACCTGGGGAGGTTCCAATACCATTTAATAGACTTAAGACATATGTTTTGTTTTGTATTTCCCTCTGTATATTCTTGTATTAAGTAACTCAGATTCAAAAACCAAGCAATGACAATAACAATAAAATAATCCTTTTTTCGATCTCCAAATTAATTCTGACCATGTCAGAGCGAGAACAAAACATCTAGTGTAATTCTTGTTTAAATGTTTGGGCCAACAAGGGTTTTTCTTTTCATAGCCTTCCCACACATGAGAACAAGACACCGCCTCTGCCTCTCCCAAGCCAGGCCCAGAGGCCAAAGTCAGCTGTGTGTGAAGTGGCAAGGGGGGGTGTGTGGCAGCCCACAGGAGCCGGGCCTCCCTCTGTGGCCTTTCCCTGCCTGCTGCCTGGCCACACCCCCTAGGATGGCTTTCATCACGGTGACAGATAACAACACGCACAGGCGAGGCCGGGGTGAAATGAGAGCCTTCCTCTGTGGCCGGTGAGATGCCCGTGAATTGGCAGAGCCTCTCTGTAAATCAGCTTGGCAGTTCTTCGAGAAGTGAAATGAAGAGCTGCCGTAAGACCCAGTAAGTCCAGCGCTATGTATACACACAGAAGAAGTAACAATAGATTCACACAAACACTGTGCACAGATACGCATGACTTCATAATAATGGCTAAGAGGTAGAAACCACCTCAGTGTGCACCGGCAGGCAGATGCACAGACCAAACTGGGCACATCTATCTGGCGGAGGACTGAGGTGCCATCGCGTGCTGCAACACGGATGGAAACATGAGAACTGCAAGTAGGTGGCCCCAAACGCCACATGTCATATCATTGCATTTGTAGGAAAGGCCCGGGAGCGGTCCATCCCCAGGGATGGAAAACAGACCAGTGGTTGCCAAGGGCTGAGGGAGGGCGAGAATGGGAGCCACCGCTAATGGTATGAGGTTTCTTCTGGGGTGATGAAATGCTCTGAGTTGTGATGACCGAAAAAACCTGTGAATACGCTGGAAACCATTAAAAGGTCAAATCCGAAAGGGGCGGAGGACAGAGCGCTAAAGCTGTTTTGTACAAGAGGGACTTCCTTCCCCCCTTCTGAGGTCCCTACACAGGGGACATCATTTATTTCTGCTACTGCCTGACGTACCCTGGTAGGATTTATTTCTGCTCTGGGTACAGGGGAACGGCTGGTCGTGAACAGGAGGGTGCAGAGGAGAGAGGGAAGAGAGCGCGGAGCTGCCAGCTAATGGGAACACCAGCACAGACTGAAGAGACCTGAGCTCTTGGGGGCTGGGGGAGGGGAGTGCAGAACTCACGAGCAGGAGAGCACAGGGCCCCGCGGACAGCGCACCGATGCCACAGTGCCACCACTGAAGTCTGCGATGGGGTTGGGCTTCACAGAGGAAGCGTTAAATCACGTTCCTGGTATTTTACTCGCGAAGGCTGAGAAAGTGCGCAACACAAAGAGGGACTTGATTTGGGGGATAATTCCCACGTCGTTCAAAGTCAAGTCTCAAAGGAGCCTCACACTGTTGTTCAAAGCGATGATCAAGGACAGCAGCATTCCCAGTGATTCTCTGAGCAGGTCAGTGGTTGATATGGAAGGCAAGTGAAAGGAGCAGTCGCGGGGACAGTGGCCACTCCGCCACCATGCGGCGTTCAGCACTGGAGGAGGCTCCGCACACACACGGGCTCAGGTCACTCCCACCACGACCCCTGCAGCAGGCGCTATTATCACTCCCACTTTCCAGACAAGAAGGGCAAGGCCCAGAGAAGCAGAGCGCTTGCCTGAAGGGCACACAGCTAGGCCGCCCCCACCCCCGCTGCTGCACAGGAACCCAGGCGGTCGGGCTCCGGGGCCTGCAGCCTCAGCTGCTCCACCCGCTGAGCTGAGTAACCGCAAGGCTGTTGGAATAAGGGCCACAGGACTTTCCAAAGTGATCTCCCCCCCTCAATATTTATTAGGAAAATTTTCACCAAACATTCGACAAAGTTGAAAAAATTCTTCAGGGAACACCCATCTACTTACCACCTGGATGCTTACCATGGGACTGTTTATAACAACATTACCCATTTCGTTATTTGTCATACACCTTAATTTAGTTTTATTTTATTTAAGATTTTATTTATTTATTTGACAGAGATCACAAGTAGGCAGAGAGGCAGGCAGAGAGAGAAAGGAAGAAGCAGGCTCCCTGCGGAGCAGAGAGCCCGATGTGGGGCTCAACCCTAGGACCCAGGGATCATGACCTGAGCTGAAGGCAGAGGCTTTAACCCACTGAGCCACCCAGGCGCCCCTGTCATACACTTTTAAAAGGGTATCCAATAGAATAGGTACTTAAAGGGTTAAGCCCCAATTATCCAGAAAACCATTCATCCAGAAGACATTCGTGGATCAGCTCTGACTAATGAGATCTTAATGACCATGTGGAAACACAGTTTCCTAAATCAAGCCCTGAGTGACGGGGGCTGATATACATGCAAGGTTTTATGCTGCTGAAGATTTATGGAGAAGGTCCGGATGACAACTGCATGTTCATCATTTTTTTTTAAACGGGTTTGTTTTTTTTTTAAGATTTTATCTATTTATTTGTCAGAGAGCGAGCACACAAGCAGGGGGAGCAGCAGGCAGAGGGAGAAGCAGGCTCCCTTGCTGAGCATGGAGCCCGATGTGGGGCTCGATCCCAGGACTCTGGGATCATTACCTCAGCTGAAGGCAGACGCTTAACCGACTGAGCCACCCAGGCGTCCGTCAGCATTCTTTATACAATCTCTTCTACACTCTGTCATAAAAATTCCTGTCTAGTAATTTTAACGAAATGAGAACAAAAGCATATAACTTAAAAAAAAAAGGTTCTTTGGGAACTGAGAGACAGTCGATCAATTCACTAACTTACGCGGGGCTTGACAAAGTATGAGTTTATAAGTCAAATTCTTAAAGATAAGAACTTTTTTTTCTTTTTTTAATTCTGAGGAAGGAACTGGGAGGACAGTAAGCTGGACAGGATGACTGAAATGTTTAGAAACGCGAGTCTCAGCAGATCTCACCAGGTCCGGCTGCAGTGTTCCCGAACAGCCCACGACTCATCAGTAAGAACAGGAATCATGGGAGCAGCTGACAGAGTCACAGAAACCTAACCGCAGTGAGAGACTGTGACATGCTGCTGTGGTTTTGAAACAATGGAGGCAGAGAACGTGACTCCGACCGGAGGCTAGTTTGACAGATACAGGAAGATTTGAATATTCTACGATAATCAACTTCCTATTCTGGGGGTACAGTATAGTTTATTGATGGTGCATGACTGTGGGGCGCCCCTAAGGTTTCCTGGGCTACACTGAGGACTGGGCTGTCTCCTGCGACTTTAATAGTGGCTCTCACAGTCCTCCAACTTCATATTCTTTTAAAAAGCCATGGAACGTATTTAGAAGTTGGTCACGCGATATAATAAACCATATGCAAATCTCCACTCATTCCAACACAAAAACTTACAGGTAGCATTCCCTTTAAAAAAAAATGTTAGCAATATAAATTTACATTGAAATTTATCCTTTTTACTTTCTCTTTCAAATTATGCTCTTCCTGTAGAAATTTCTTTCTCTCTCAGAAACAATGAAGAAAAGTGAAATTCTGTCCTACTCACCCCAAAGAGAGCTAGTGTCCATTACTTCAAATAATTTCTAGGCACAGATTACTAGAACCACTTTTGTGTATGTGTATGTGTACACATTTAGTTTTATTGTAACAAAGCACGTTGTACACTTTTAATGTTTAAACTGAGCATCATCTTTCCAGTGAAACAAAAAGAAAATTTAAAAATAAACAGGAACAAAATTACAATAGAGAATGTCAATTCCAAATAAGATCCTATAGGTTCTGCTGATTCTCGGAGTGGTAGGGCTCAAGTCACCATTAGGAGAGAGTATAACCACTTTTTTAAGACACGAAAAATAGAGTTGTATTTTTACCCTTCATTCTGCTGATTTTCCTCCCACGACAACGGGAAGAGTGTTAGAGTCTACAGTATATCTCACTCTTTTAAACAATGTTCTAATTTATGGGTGTGTCCTAATTTACTTCACCAATCTAGCTGTTAATAGACATTTGCATTTCTCTGGTTTTTAAACTATTACAAGCAATGGCTCACTAAACTTTCCCTGCATATCTTTTTGTGCCTTTGAGAATTTCTAAAATTCTGAATTTCTTACAAGAATTTGTGACCAGGGGGTGCCTGGGTGGTTCAGTTGGTAAAGCATCCAACACTTGATCTCAGCTCAGGTCTTAATAGTGTCACACAAGTCCAGGCCCCGCATTGGGCTTCCATGGAGCCCACTTAAACAAAAGCAAGACAAAACAAGAATTTCTGACTAGTAAAATGTTGTTAGGAAAATACAAATTTCCCTGGGGTTCCTGGGAGGCTTGTCAGTTAAGCATTTGCCTTTCACTTGGGTCATGATCTCAGGGTCCTGCGATGGAGCCCCACATGCTTCTCCCTCTCCCTCTGCTGCTCCCCCTGCTTGTGTGCGAGCTCGCGCGCTCTCGCGCGCTCTCTCTCTCTCTCTCTCCCTCCAAACAGATGATGATTTTCACTCTCACCACCATAGAACAAGAGTGCCCTCACTGCCACTGCGTATTATTACTATTTCTAGTCTTTGCTAATTTGGTACATAAAGAACTGGTCCCTATGGTTCTAACTTGCATTTCTTTATAGACATGGTTGAAAATCTTTTCACTTATCACTGACATTTTGTAATAAAATTATTTTTTTGTCTACTTTTCTATGGGGTTTTGCAAGTCCACCGTCTATTTTTTTAGTTCCACTATGGTTAGCATACAGTGCCCT